TTGTAGTGAAGAAACATTTTTTGAGGAGTCTCGAAACATTAATTGTTGAGAGACTAGAGCCTAGAGATGAGAGCCTAGAGATTTTTTAAACTATGCTAATAAAACAATCTGGACTGACATTAGACCGGCCTTTAACCAAGTACGGCGACCGTCGTTCAGAAGACATTTTATTAACACAATTATCGACAACCGCTCAAAAATTTAACGAAACGTATGACCAATATCATCAACGAGTGACAAACAATTTAAACGATTTACTCCAACACATTACTTTAAACGACAACGAAGCTACAATTAACTTTAAAACGCCTTATTTTCGAAATATTGCTCTAAAAACTTTTTGTACTGGGATAAATGAACCTTACGCCGAATATTTATCGCATTTTGAAATAAACTCTTTAGACGAAGCCCTCCAGAAGTGCGTTGCTTACGATAACCACAAAAATCAGCGAATGTACATGAACTTTTTAAAGGGTCAACAGAATAAGAAATTTGATCCAACCAAAAAACCCAACAACCCTGCTCAACGAAATAATTTCGGAAATAATAATTCTTCTCCACGTAATAACCCTCAATAAAATCAATTTCAACAAAATCGCTTTCAACAAAATAATTTCCAAAATAATAACGCTCCTGGAAACAGATTTCAATCAAATAACAATTTTAGAAACAACCCTCAACAATTTAACCGCCCCCCAATCCAAAAGAGCCCTACCAACTTTTGAAACAATTCTTCCCCTATGAGTGGTGTACAAACCAATACATCTAGAAACGAACCCATGAGTGTTTCCACAAGAAGAGCTCATCATTTCAACATCGATTCCTACGAAGAACCCGAATTTGTCGCCAACGATTGTGAAATCGACAACGAAACGACAAGTCGGGATTTTCAGCTAGGTTCGACGAACAAACCACCCCCTTTGTAAGTTTGAATAACATTAAAAATTATCCCCAGCTACCCTATTTTATAATGCCGCAATCAGGTCTAAAGGTATTAATTGATTCTGGAGGATCAGATAGCATCGTTACCCCAAAAGCTTCTACATTTTTTAATCCTTTACATAAATACGAAAAACCATTTTTATTAACTTCTATGAAATTAACTCGAAAATACCATTTTAACATTAGGACTCCAATATTTAGGGAATACGGTATCGACGAACCGATCGATGCTCGAATTGCCGATTGGAGTAAAGACTTCGATATTTTGCTAGGAAATTTTGATTTAGATCATTTAAATGCATTGATTGATTATCATTATAATTAACGTTAAGAAAATTTAACATTGAAATTCCATTTTTTACTTTGTACAATAAAATTCCAGTCGATGTACCCGAAGGTGAGATTATATTACCGGAAATCAAAATTAATAATATTACAATTCCACAGTCAATTCACACGGTAACCGATGGCTACGTAGACAATATCGTCTTACCTAGTCCGGCGCAATTCGACCCTATAAAAGTTGAACGTCTTGACGATTACGAAATTACAAACGGTCCCACAAACTTTGATCCCTCGATAATTCGAACTCAGCATTTAAATCCAGAGGAAAAAACCAAAATTTTAGAACTTTGCAAAAAATACAAAGACATTTTTTACGATGAAAAATCCGATTTATCATTTACGTCAGCTATTAAACACGAAATTAGAACTAAAGACGAGAACCCTATTTATGTTAGAAGTTTTCGTCACCCCAAAGCAATGCAAGAAGAGATCACTAAACAAATAAATAAATTGTTAGATAATAAAATAATTAGACCCTCGATATCTCCCTTTTCTGCACCGGTTTGGATAGTACCAAAAAAATTAGACGCTTCCGGAGAAAAAAAATTTCGAATGGTAATTGACTACCGGAAATTGAATGAAAACACAATAGAAGATAAATATCCGCTACCGAAAATTGACGAAATTTTAGATAATTTAGGAAAAGCTACTTATTTTACGACTCTTGATCTTGCCCAAGGATTCCACCAAATTGAAGTTCATCCTAATTCTATTGAAAAAACTGCTTTTACTGTGCCCCATGGCCATTTCGAATTCGTTAGAATGCCGTTTGGTCTCAAAAATGCCCCCGCTACTTTTGAAAAATTAATGGATAACATTCTAAGACCCTTCTTATATAAATTTTGCTTTGTCTACATGGATGATGTTATTATTTTTTCGAAATCTTTACATGAACATCTCGTTCATATCGCAAAAATCTTTGAACTATTCCGAGAAACAAATCTCAAAGTTCAATTAAATAAATCCGAATTTCTTACTAAAGAAGTAGCATTCCTCGGTCATATTGTTACTCCTCAAGGAATTAAACCTAACCCTTCAAAAATAGAAGCTATTCAAAAATTTCCCCTTCCAAAAACCATAAAACAAATTAAATCTTTTCTAGGACTTATCGGATATTACCGCCGTTTTATTCCAAATTTTGCAAAAATAACTTCCCCTTTTTCTAGATGCACCCGAAAAGGAGCAATTATTGATCCAAATAATCCTCAATACATTGAATGTTTCGAAAAATGTAAGCAGTTATTAAGTAATTCCCCAGTTCTTCAATATCCCGATTTTACAAAAACTTTCACCCTTACTACTGACGCCTCAAAAATAGCAATTGGATCTGTTTTATCACAAGAAAATCATCCCATCGCTTATTATTCTCGAACACTAAATTCCGCTGAACAAAATTATTCGACAATCGAAAAGGAATTATTAGCAATAATTGACTCGTGCAAACACTTTCGTCCTTATTTGTACTCGCAAAAATTCATAGTAGAAACTGATCAAAATCCACTTGTTTGGATTTACAAAATTAAAGATCCCACTTCTCGATTAGCACGCTGGAGATTAAAACTTGAAGACTACAAGTTTACTGTAAAATACAGAAAAGGTAAAGAAAACCAGGTAGCCGACGCCCTTTCTCGCGTACAAATTAACGCTCTTGACACAAATAGTTCAAACTGCGCGGAACCCCCTGATTCCGACGATTTCGATTTTGATTTAGACGAATTTCTTGATGAATTTGAGAATCTTCAAAACTCCGACAATAACGGTAATAGCAACGACGACGACAACACACGACATACCGCAGTTGAAAATCCCATTACAGGTATCCCTATTTCAGAAGAACCGATCAATTTATTTAAAAATCAAATAATATTTGTTCCCGATTCATCAAAATACGACATAGAGTATAAAGAAGTATTTAAAAAGCATAGGTACACAATACAAATAACGAAAAACTGGCAATCCGACATTAAAAGTGCACTCAAAGACTTACTTAGACCAAACCAAAAATTCGCGATTAGAGTATCCCACGATTTCAGACCCTATACATATTTGTAATTATTTCAGAGATAACAAAAATTCAACTGTGAAAGCCATTTTCTGTAATAGACTGTTAATAGACGTTGAACAAAAAGAAAAACAGATAGAATGTGTTAAGAAATATCATTCGGAAAATCATAATGGTATCGTTGAAACTTACAAACGCTTAAAAAAAAAATTTATTGGCCTTCAATGCAGACTACAATTTCTGACTACATTAATCAATGCGAAATTTGTCTAAATAACAAATACGAAAGACACCCCTATAACGTAACACAACTTGGACCCCTTTTAGGACAAAAACCCTTCGACATTCTTCACATTGACCTGTTTCACTGCAACAAAAATATTTACCTAACAATAATAGATTCCTTCTCCAAATATGCCCAGTGTTATAAAATGCCAGACAAAACGTCTTTCTCCGTTTTAAGTAAACTACGACATTATTTCTCACATCATAACTACCCACGAAAAATAGTCTGCGATAACGGTACGGAATTTAACTCCGCCGTTATTAAAGAATTTTTGAATCTCCATAAAATTGAAATTCATTTCACCACTGTTAATAGTTCTTCCTCTAATTCCCCTGTTGAGCGTTTCCATTCGACGTTGTTGTTGTTGTTGTTGTTTTTATGCGGGCGGTCTTTCCAGCCCCGTGACCACCTAGATCTAATGATCCTCTGTAGTTTCCCGCTGTTTCCCAAGGTCATTGATTCTGCCAGAGGTCGCAGGTATTTGCAAACCTCAGCAGTTCGGATGCCCTTGTGTTTTTGAGATCGCTAGGATCTAATGAGGTCCTTCCCCAGGTATTATACCTGCGCAAGGATAATGCTGGACAGTGACACCATTCGACGTTACTAGAAAAACTTCGAACTTTACGAGAAGAAAATCCGCATGACTCACTTGACGACATTTTTACTCACGCTATACTAATTTACAATCAATCAATCCATAGTACCACAAATTATTCACCATTTTCAATTCTTTACGGACCCTATGCTGAAGAAATTCATTTTGATTTTGACCTTCCCTTGTATCAAACTTACAATCAGAGACATAAAGACGAATTATTACCATTTATAAACGAATTGTACAGAAAACAAAAAGAAAAACGACAAAACCTATTAGACAAACACAACCAAAATGCAGAAACTATCCCCGAAATCGACAATGCACAAACCCTTCGCGTTTCCAAAAAGAAACATAAAGCTAAACTGGATGCCCCATATTCCACAATGCACCCTAAAAAACAAGAAAAAACTAAAATTATTGGAGAAACTTCTAAAGGAAACAAAACCAGCACCCATTTAAAATACGTAAAAAGACTTCGCAAAATTACTAATAAAAATTCTCAAGAAGTGAATTCTTTACAGGACAACCCTATCCCTGGGACGTCACATGAAAATTCAGGAGATTCCGAATAACGGTTATTATGCCGAAGACATCGGAACTTGCAGAGAAGTTTCCCACTATCACCGACATATTCTACACATTGACTTAGACACATTAGAAGAAATGATAAACATAAACCCTGAAGATTATTTTAAAACTCCTATAAATAACAGTCCCCTCTCACCCCTATATTCCCAATACAAACACTTAAACTTTACACATAAAATTACACGTAGACAGAAAAAGGGTTTATTCAACTTCCTAGGCACCGCGATAAAATACGTAACTGGAAACCCAGACGACACTGACCTAGTCCTACTAAAAACACATATAACCGCTTTAGAATTAAAGGATAATGAAATAATAAAAAAGTTTAATAACGAAATATCTTTTAGTCAATCTATTGATACGAGATTCAATAAATTATTAGATAAAATTAATAATAATAGTTTTATTGTTATGGCTGCAATTAATAAATTGTCAGCTGACTTCGATGGATACATTGCTCTTCACAACGAAATTATTAATCTTGAAAACGTTAATGAATTTCTGATGAAACTTATTAGAACCATTACTTTGTCTCATTTAAACATTTCAAATATCGAATTATTTACGTTAAAGGAACTTCAAATTTTAAAAAATAATCTTGTCAAAATTTACTCTAGAAACGCCCTCCTAATTAATGATGAACACCCCTACGAACTCGTAGAATCATCAAAAACTTTAATTTGTGTTACTTCGAAAACAAAGCTCATAATAGTAAAAATCCCGATTTTCCATACCAATACTTATTCTACCCATAGAATTTACCCTATACCTAATAAAGATCACATAATGATTTTACCACCTACACATTTCTACGCAAACCTGGCTGAGCATCCCCGAAACCCATGGACAAATCCAACCGCTGGAGGCGATGGAGACTCTGCCCAGAATTTCAACTGGCCTCAGCACCACCTCGCTTTTACTAATACTAATTATTTTAGCTGCACTCCTAACGATTCTTATTAGGAAAAAGAAAAGAATTGGCAAAATTCTTTTCGGACCAAATCTACAGCCAACCCAAATCGAGATACTACAGGACCTTATTTTGGAAGCCACCAAGACTTCGAGGACGAAGTCAGAACCAAAGGAGGGAGGAGAAATGTAATCGCCGCTCGACTATTCCACTTATTCAGCATTATTATTTTATAAATTAACTGTAAACCCAATACACTTGTTCTTTTGTTTTGCAATCTTTGTAATAGTAAATTCAAAATTGCTTAGAAGTTCCATTTATTGTATTTCCGAGTTTCTTGTGAAAAATAAACTTTTTTAAAACATTCGTTCACGTGCGTGTAACATTTCTATATCAATAGAGGCCTTGTATGTAATTGCGGGAATTATCCCCGTTGATATATTGTCACGGAGGAGGGTGGAGTTCTCAAATATATGTTAAATTGTTATTAATTAAATTAACTGCCCACTCAGCAACCTTGCAGAATGTTAGAATTGTCAATAATATTGTTTAATAAAAATAATGCAAGTTGCTAAGTAGGCAAGGTCGCGCTGCAATGAATGAAGAATAAAAAGTGCTAGGGACGGTAAAATGATTATTTCAATCGACAAAAACAGGGAGGTTCTAAGGAATATAAAGGAACAAATTCAGAACAAGAAGTATTACATATCAAAGGAATGGATTTGAACACGACTAAGGAAGAAATAATAGAAACATTGAGGGAGAAAGGAAACTGGAATAAACTGATTAACGATGGATACATCAAGGTAGGAGTGGTAAGCTGTAGAATTGAAAAGAAATATAAAATCGATAAATGTATAAGATGTTGGTCCCATTATCACAACACCAGAAAATGTCGGGAGCCTGAACGTGCTAGTAGATGCTTCAGATGTGGAGAGGAAGGGCATGTCGTAAAGGAATGTAAAAATGAAGAAGCCCTTAAAAGGGTTAGAGCGAAGGATATAGGGTTGGGTCGACAGATGTCCATGATATCTACAACATCAACGACAGAAGGACAAGACATTAGACTAGGAGAGGGAGGAATATTGAGCACAGAGGTGCTACCAGTCAAAGACAGGTACAATCAGCCCCAGAAAACAAAAACAAACAAATACAAAAACCAAAACCTTGCAAGACAAACCTTTGGAACTACCTTCGTCATTTCGACCGATATGTCTTAAAGATGGGTCTTATAGATATATTGGGGAAAGTGTTAGAAGGGCTAATTAAAGGGAGAATCGAAGTGGCATTAGGACCAAACGGGTTATCAGAAAGGCAATTTGGGTTTCGGAAGGGAAAGTCTACAGTCGAAGCTACTAGATGGATTATGGAAAGAACAGAAAATTCTCAATCGAAATGGATCACGCTACTAACATTAGATATAGAAAATGCGTTCAACACTGCGAAGTGGAGTGAAATCATAAAGGCGCTCAAGGAAAAGAAAATAAATGACTATATTATAGCTATGGTAATTGCATACTTTAGAAAACGAAGAATACAAATCGACAAGGAAAATTTTCTGGAGATGACTGCCGGAGTACCCCAAGGGTCGGTATTGGGCCCCACACTGTGGAATGTCTTATATGACCAAGTCCTACGTGTTGAGCTAATGGAGGGATGTACTAGTGTAGCGTTTGCTGATGATCTAGCACTGCTGGTAGAAGCAGATAATATGAACGAGATGATGGGCAAAGCAAATGAGTGTTTAATAAGACTAACCGAATGGATGAACGGAAAAAAACTAAAATTAGCCAAACAAAAAACAGAAGCTATTATCCTAAAGGGAACAAAACTCACAAAAATTAGGGAAAAAATAGCATTTAATTTAGGAGAACATATAATACACCCGAAAACAACAATAAAATACCTGGGAATACACCTCGATTACAACAGGACATTTACAGTGCACATCAAAAATATCTGCAAAAAAACTGACGAAAAAATAACAATTCTCTTTAAATTAATGCCTAAAATCGGAAGTCCCAATAGTTTAAAGAGAAACGTGCTAGGAGGAGTGGCGCATTCAATATTATTATATGGAGCACCAGTATGGACCAAAGCGGCAGAAATGACGAGATACAACAACATGCTTGGCAAGACGCAGAGAAAATTACTCCTGAGAACATCGATGGCTTACAGAACGGTTTCAAAAGAAGCCCTAAATGTAATAACGGGTACTCCACCCATAGACCTTCTAGTCTGGGAAAGGAAAAGGATTCATGAGGATAAATTAACAGAAAAACAGCAGAAACTACAAGCAAGAGAAGAAACAATCCACCAGTGGCAGGGTAGATGGGACCGACTTCAGGGAAAAGCTCAATGGACCAAACGATTAATCCCTTTCTTAATCTATGGATAAAGTGTAAGTATCGAAGAACGGATTTCTACTTGACGCAGTTCCTCGTAGGACACAGAACATTCCAGCAGTACCTAAAAAGAATAGGGAAGGTAGATAGAGACGACTGCCTATACTGCGCAGGAACAGATACAGTGGAACACTGGGGATTGGCAAATGATAGGGAATTCATAGAAGAAAAATTAAATCGAACCATTGCACCTGAAAATATAATAAATATCATATCTGAAAAAATAAAATACGATTTAATAGCGGAATTTATTAGAAATATTATGAAGAAAAAGATTGAAGAAGAAAGAGCGAGGCAAAGTAGTAGCAGTAGGTAAAAAACTCACCTGTTCCAGACTCGACGAAAATCCAAAGATGGATGGTACCGACCTGGAAAGAAAGGTTAAGAGAGACAGGTTTTTAGTGGGTATTATGCGCCTTAGAGTCCCACATTACCCCCGCCGACCAATCGCGGGGGTGTGCGTAAATGCATTTTCCTGTCTATAAAAAAAAAGGGTATGGTAGGGTAGGGTAGGGTGGGGACCAAATGGCCGTGTTTTGGGTCTGACCCAGTGGGTCTCAGTAGGTGCGGTAGGGTGCCCATACTTACCGTACAATAAAACGCTGAGCCCGCAGTCCTGTCTGGACGAACCGGCAAATCCTATCTCCACCTCCTCGTGGTGGTCCCTGGTAATGCGCGGCGTGCTGTGGAAGTACGTCTCGTAGCCAACGGAGAAGGGTTATGGCGAGTCTCCAGCGCCTGAAAAAAAATGGAATTAATGGGCCGCAACCCAAGGTGTCAAGCGACCCGTGCCGAAGGGTGGATGGCCATGCGTTTAGTTGGTCTCGAACGGAGCCTCCAGGACACCCGGCGACCTCCTGGAGTACGTAGCCTTACCGGGGTATGGGCGCACTGCCCCGGCGGACTTTTATTTCGGCCCGACTCGGGGGAATAGGAATGGAAGATGATAATAACAAAAAAAACAAGAAGTTGTGGAGATGATAGTAGTGTAGAGAGGATGATGAAGGAAAATAAAGAGAAGGAAGATAAAAGAGATAAAGAGCAGACAACAGAACAAGATGTGTTTAGGAGAAGTGCCAAAATAGGTCGGTCACCACCGGTGAATCGTCTTGAATTGCTGCGGAGGGAAAGTGAAAGGGACAGCGAATCGGATGACGGAAGAACCCCTAGAGCCCAGGGAGAGGCGATAGATGTTGTAGATAGCGAGGACGAAGAAACTTTTAAAGGCCAGAGTGGGAAAAGCAGTAGAAAAGTAGTATCTCCGGATATAGGGGAAAAAAGAGTCAAAGAGGACAGAAAAACCGAAGAGGGGGATGTCAAAGAATGCAGTGTTAAAGGAATTTAAAGAAATGTTTGCGAGGATCATGTCGGACAGCGAAAAATTGCGTGATTTGATACAAAAACACAGTAAGTACACTCAAAACGACATAAAGGATAAAGTTAGGGAATTGAGAAGGTGGGCGATGAAAGGTGAAAAGAAATTTAAAGAAGTGGAGAATTTTAACTTAAATCAAGCTGGGCTGAACAGGAAAATAGGCCAAGGACTAGTACGGAGGTAGCTGTGCAGACAAATAGTACAGAAGTAGGAACAAGAGAAATAGGAACGCAGGTTAATATGGATATGATCAATGTTACGGAAGCCATCGGAAGGATAACAAAATACGAAGATGTGGAAATATTAGTAGATCATCCATGGCCCGGGGATATTTACGAGAGGACTAGAGAGGTCGTGGAATTCCCGATTAAAAGGGATAAGGGATGGGACTTGGCAATTGCCATTGGCCCAAGGAATAAGGATAAGGGACTAGGAAAAATCATGGGGGACTGGTACCCGGAAACGTGGGAAAGTATGAATGAGGGTGATACAAAATTAAAATATACGTCGAGCAGTACAAAAGTTACAACGAACAGCGGGGAAATAACGGAGTCAATAAAATACGTATTTGGAATACCGTTCAAGGAAAGCGCGGAGGGTGAAAGTATTATGCAAAGGGAATTCTATGAGGTACTGGTGGAACTCAGAGAGACGATGGAAGCCAAAGGTAGAAAGAAACTTATATTCGCCTCTGCAGAAGGGACGGATAGGTTAAGGAGCAGAAAACTATTAGAGTGCGTCTTCAGAGGAACGAGCTGTGAAATAGAATGTCGGGTCCCGAATATGAGTCACATACCAAGGGAACTGAGAGCAGAAGGAAGGGAGAGGAATTTTGAGGAAATTTTCATAAAAAACACGAAGGAAACATTTGCCGACATGCTAAAAGAAATCAAAGATAAGGTAGATGTAAATGAAATTAATGTGGATATAAGATCCATCCAGAGGACTAGCAAGGGGATGTCCTATTTAGGGTAAAAAAGGGAGATGCAGATAAACTGAAAAATGAGATAAAAGAGAAGACTGGGGCTAAGGTGGAAAAGTATGACCTAAGAAACCCTATGGTTATGCACATAAATGACATTGACGGGATAATAAAAAAGGAGGATGCCACAAGAATTGTTGAGGAGAAATTAGGAAAAGAACCTTTCCACCTTTCGGATCTAAGGCCAGGATATCGTGGGACCCAAAAGGCGACATTACGCATCAATAAAAATATGAGGAGGGCAGTGGGAGATACCATAAAGATAGGATGGATAAATTGCAGTGTGGTGGAGCAGTTGGAGGTGTTGAGATGCTATAATTGTTGGCGTACGGGACATATATCAGCAAAGTGTACTGAACCGGAAAGAAAGGATCACTGTAGGAGATGTGGGAAACAAGGTCATCAGCAGAAGGGTTGTAGTAACGACGAA